TGTTTTCAATCGTTATGAGTCTATCGATTGAATAGAATTTTATTGTAAACAATTGTCTTGTAAATGGAATTTTTAAAGCATTCTGAATGTAAAAATAAAAGAAAAAGTGTGCAAGACAATAAGAAACACTACCTGCCAAAAAAAAAGTGGGTAGTATGTTGAAATCGGCTGAAAAAATGTAAAATCCGATCCCATATATAAACGAACACACACACACACACAACCTGGGTTTTTAACCCGAAGTGAGTTGTCCCCCTTTCATTAATGCCTCTTAATCGTGTTTTCAAATTGATTTCGTGCAAAAACAATTGTGTTTTTCAATTTTTGGCGCTGTTAGAACCACCAAAGGTAATTTTACGCAGTCCTGTGAAGTTTTGTTGAAATCGGTTGAAAAATGTAGAAAATCCGATCCAATATATAAACGTTACAGACACACACACACACACACACACACAATCTGCGTTTTATAATAAGTAAGATGAATTTATCGCTAACATTTTTGTCCAGATTTACAAACTCTAAGTTTCGTTCAATTTCGTAAACCAATCGATGAAATCTGAATAAGCTGATTTGTTTTGAAAAATACTTTGACAGAAACCCTACTACGCGGTTTAATAATTTCTTTAATTTAATCTAATAGGACTTCGTGGTAAACAAAATTTCTTTTTCCTTTTAAACAGCGAAGAATAAATTCTTAGGATTTCTTACTCTTGAGCATGCAACATATTGTCTTTTGCATATCCTTTCTTTTAGCTTTTAAATACTAGGATTTTTTTTGCAACACGCTGAGGTGTATTGAAATCCTCACAGTATTTAGTATTATTGAAGTTATCCCTAACAGGTTTTCAATTTTACAAATCGATGAAATTTAAATAAGCTGATTTGTTTGTTGACAAAAATCCTACTTCGCGGTTTAATAATTTCTTAAATATAATTTTATAGCAAAAAATATTTAAAAAATTTTTTTTTTTGTTTTTTAACAGCGAAGAATAAATTCTTAGGATTTCTTACTCTTGAGCATGCAACATATTGTCTTTTGCATATCCTTTCTTTTAGTTTTTAAATACTAGGATTTTTTTACAACACGCTGAGGTGTATTGAAATCCTCACAGTATTTAGTACTATTGAAGTTATCGCTAACACGTTTTCAGTTTCGTAAAACAATCGATGAAATTTGAATAAGCTGATTTGTTGGTTCACAAAAACCCTAATTCGTGGTTTAATAATTTCTTTAATTCAATTTAACTTTACAGGACTTCAAGGCAAGTAATATTTTTTAAGATTTTTTTTTTTTTTTTGCTTTTTAACAGCGAAGAATAAATTCTTAGGCTTTTTTATTCTTGAACATGCAACTGAATAACAGACATTTATTACATTTGCTTACAGCAAAAACGCACATAGATGTGTTATTTTTTTGTCACTGAAATATTTTTACAATCTGCTGACGCCTGTTGAAATTCTCACAATATTTAGTATTAATGAATTTATCGCTAACATTTTCATCGAGATTTACAAATTCTACGTTTCGTTCAATTTCGTAAACCAAGCGAATAAATTTGAATAAGCTGATTTGTTTTGAAAAATACTTTGACAAAAACCCTACTTCGGTTTCATAATTTCTTTAATTTAATTTAATAGGACTTCACGGTAAACACAATTTCTTTTTCGTTTTTAATAGCGAAGAATAAATTCTTGGGATTTCTTACTCTTAAGCATGCAACATATTGTTTTTTTGAGTATCTTTCCTTTTAGTTTTTACATACTAGGACTTTTTTTACAACACGATGGGGTGTGTTGAAAGCCCCACGGTATTTAGGTTTAATAATTTCTTTAATTTAATTTAATTATAAAATTAAATTAAATTAAAGAATCTGATGGTAAACAATATTTTTTTAAGAAAATTTACTTTTTTCCTTTTGAGCATCGAAGAATAATTTCTTAGGATTTCTTACTCTTCAGCATGCAAAATAAAACTGCTCATGCGTAAATATTCCTTGTTGGAGCCAAATTCCAACTTTTTGAAGTTTATAGTTCTCGCAAACGCAGGGAAAACTGGACGGTGTATTCTTGTATATAAAAGCTGGCCCAATAACTTGGTCCAATTTTAATGTGAATTAAGTTTAATCGTTTAATGACTGTTTTCCTTTTCCTTTCAGATTTGGCGGACATTTGGGCGATATTATTTTTCCACATAATTGCCATGACTTAAATAACATGATCCAATAGAGAAATCAATAAATTTTCCCCAATAACACTGATTTATTTATTGCTGATTTTGATCCGTTTTAATGAAACACCCTTTATTTTAAACGTATCTACGATCCTCGTTGACGCCTTTAGATTTCTTCCTTTGGGGGTCATCTCAAAAGTAAGGTCTATGCCAACAAGCCAACAACAATTCAACAACTGAAGGATGAAATAATAAGGCCTATTGGTGAGATCGAGGAGCAACTATGCAGAGACCTCATCAAAAATTTTGACCATCGAGTGGAGGTGTGCCGCCGAATCCTTGGCGGACATTTGAGCAATATTATTTTTCCCACATAATTGCCATGACTTAAATAACATGATCCAATAGAGAAATAAATAAATGTTTACTAATAACACTGATTTATTTACTGCTGATTTTGATCCGTCTTAATGAAACACCCTTTATTTTATACGTATCTACGATCCTCGTTGGCTTATCGAAAATTGACCCTTTAAGAGGACTTGAACCACATTTTCCTTTTCAATATTAATTTATTTACTGCTGACTTTGATCTTTAGAAGCATGTTCATTGGTAAAATTAGATACTATGGAAACGGCTGGAGCTACCATTTCGATAAGGGGCGTAAGAGTTAACAATTTGTATCAGCATATCAGTCACCTTCGGAAAGAGATCAAGCCGAGGCAAGGCCGGACGAATGAACATGCTTATCAAGATTGGTTATTCCTAAATTTTCGCTTGAGGATGAAACAGGGCTTGTTACTTTAATTCAATTTAATTTTAATAATTATATTGAGGTTTTTGGCCCTTGTTTTTGAAACATGAGAACTCTTATGTAGCGAAGGAAAAATAATTATATACATATATATATATATATATATATATATATATATATATATATATATATATATATATATATATATATATATATATTTATTTTATATATATATATATATATATATATATATATATATATATATATATATATATTTTTTTATACGTTCTTTAAAGATACAAATATGTAAGTAATGGCTCTTTTTATATTAAACAGTATTAACAACATCAAAGAAATTCACAGAAAATATGTATCCTCCAATCTGTATCATGCACGGAAACGTTATATAGCCTGATGTGCTATGCCATTTAGTTACAGAGGAAGTGTTCGATTAACAAGGTCAGATTAATGTTTTTAAACTACTATTTGAGCATGCTAACCGGACTTTCTCTGTAGGTCAATGGTATAGAACGTCAGGTTATATGACGATTACGTGGAGGATACAGCTTCGATTCCTGTCGAAGGACACGTATTTTCTATGAAATTTATCGGCCATTGAAGCCGGTAAATACTGCTTGTTATAAACGGAGCATCTACTTAAATATTTGTATCTATAAAAAATAACGTATAAACAGAAAATATATTAAATTAATTGTCGAACTTTTCATAATGCCCATTTCATTCTATATATATATATATATATATATATATATATGTATATATAAATAAAAAGAAAGAACAGTAAGATATATAATCCAGTGTTCTTATAGATAATTTTATTTTTACAAAATAGTGCTCAATGTAAATTTACAGAGCATTAAAACGTAGCAATAACTGATACATTAAAATATAGACATATTGAACACCCAGACAACCCCTCGTCTCGTAAAATGAATTCATCTGTAACCTTGGAGACATGAATTATAATTTTAGCTGTGTCTTTAAAACCCAGTAATTTTAAAAGTTACTCCAAAAATTCGCTTGAGGAGGAAATGGAACTAATGTCTTTAATTTAATTACAAAAATTAAATTCAGGGCTTTTAGCTTCCATTTTGAAACATGGTTAGAACTGTGTAGCGGAAAAAAACATATTTTAAATCAATTAATTTATAATATATATATATATATATATATATATATATATATATATATATATTAGTAGTAGTAGTAGTAAACTTATAAGGATAAGAAACTATACTCGCTCGGAAAACCTGCAAATAATCAAGCCAATAGCAACAATTAAATAAAGCACTCAATACAGTGAATAGAGCAGAACTAGTTAGGGAAGGCTGGCGATCCGCTTAGGTGAAACCTTGGTAGGTTTGTCTGGCTCTCTAGGTTTAACTATATATATATATATATATATATATATATATATATATTAGAGCCGTTGGTGAATGCATTGTGTTATTATTAGTTTTGAGAGGACCATTAACATTATGTATGGTCCTGGATTTAAGTTTCTTTTCTAGAATCGTGAGATTAGAGCACTAGCAAAAAAAAATCAACAGACACCAACGGCTGTAATATATATACGTATATATATGTATGTATGTATGTATATATTAAAAGTAGGTTAAGGAAATGTGTCTATCTTAATCTTTATTTTATTTATTTAAATTTCGGTCAAGTGAGAAGTGGGTAAAATGGAGAGATATTTACGTCATTAAAGTTACAAGTGAATTGTTTCTAAACTGTGTTATTTACAGATGGAACAATCAGGACGATGGCTCTGGCGATTCCAAGTACTGCTCACCTTACAATCTCTAGACGACCACAGCAACAACAACAAAAATATGTAGCAACAAAAAAACTCAACGCCTAAACAGTCAAGCAACCAAGTAAAATAATCATAAAAAAGACATGTTGGATGTAACAGCTGTATACACAAAAACAAGAAACTACTACTACTACTATAAAAAAAAAAACTATAGCAACACAGTGGCTATAATCGAAATAAAAGAAGGCTAGTTACCCCTAAGGTAACTTCCAACAAGCAAGCTGACGTAACGTATTCACCGAGACGAAAGCCGTTTCTCTTTCAATGACGTCTTTGTTCTATGTACCATCCGCGTTACTGAACTGGGCTGGTTGACTAGCTGGAAGCGGACATCATGAAATATAGCGAAATAATTGTGCCCATATGGCGTCAGCTTACACTAGAAGGACGGGAATTTAGTGACATATTAACTTGGAAAAGATTTAATGGTATTTTTTTTTCAGTAGGTTACAGTGTGGTTGGTATGCAAGACTTAAAATACTGCCTCGTTTTGGGGTTCTTAGGAACAGATGCTATATTAGAAGTTCTATGCGAAATCAAACAAAAAAATCGGCTTTCGCTTGTTTTTCATATTCTTCATTTTCCAAATTGAAAGTATCTGAAAATTTATTCCTTAACTGTCTCTCTCTCTCTCTCTCTCTCTCTCTCTATTTATATATCCGTCCTGGGTATGACAATAAACTACGTCCACGTTCTGGGTAAGACGATAAACTACGTCCAACAACATGGCCTCTGATCAGGAGATTTTGAGAAGCGTGGAACTACCTCTTAATTGCTGGTGTTCCAGGTCCAACCTGACGCGGGGTGGTAGCACCTGTTAGGGTCCCAGCTATGGGCAGATAGTTAACACCCAGACTTATGTAAAAATAGGTTTTAATACCAGAAATACTTTGCAATAAAACAAAATTATTGGCAACAATAATTTTGGAAGGAAAAATTATTATCAGCAATATCTAATACTAGAGGACAAAGAATTCCCAATGTGCACTACATGCCAAGAGAAATTTACAGTGGAACATATACTGTTAGAGTGTGTAGATTTTGATCTAAGAGGAATGAAATATTATCACGTGAGTAATTTTAAAAAAAAGAAGCTTTTTACGAAAATAAAACCATCCAAGATTGTAAATTATCAAAAAAACATTGTACTAAAAAATATGAGTCACTGAAAAATGGTTCAAATATATATGTATACATACGCACCTTTTTTTTTTTGCCAAACTATCGCTATTAATCTATTTCAAAAATTTTGTTGGTATTAAATGACCCACTGAGGTTGATATGTCATAAAATAAAACGACCAAACAACCAACTGTTTATATATATATATATATATATATATATATATATGTGTGTGTGTGTGTGTGTGTGTATGTGTGTGTGTGTGTGTGTGTGTGTGCAAATATATAGAAAATAGGAAAGAACAAGTTAGGTAAATAATCCGATGCTCTTTAGTACTTTTGTGTTTATTTAAAAAATCAGTGCTCAGTACAAAGTATATATATATATATATATATATATATATATATATATATATATTGACATCCACATATGTATCGAATCCATTGCTAGGCCAACTGCTAAGAAAGTTGGTTCACTGTGTCAAGCAAGACAATTTTTCTTTGCATCTACGCTGATGACAAAACCATTTACCCCTGCCTCGATAGCAAGGCTGGTCAATCCGATCAAAATGGCTGCCGATGTCCAAAAAGACGTCAAGTCCGTCTTTAACTGGTCAAAAGATGGCTTGTTAATTTTAACGCCTCCAAAATTAAATTTCTCTCCATCATAATCATCTGAGAAAGCCTTCTCTGCCTTCCATCAGCATGGCTGATGCTAACCACCAGGAAAGTGAACAGTTGCGCTTTCTCTAGCTAACGTTCTCAAGTGAAGTGAAAAGACTATATTGAGTCCATTGTTAGGTCAGCTGCTATGAAATTCGGTTCACTGTGTCACACGAGACAATTTTTCTCTCCGGAATCTATCTTACATATATATCAGTCTACCATTCATCCATGCTTAGGTGCCGGTGCTAGTTACCTTGAGCGCCTGTATAAAATCTAAAGGAGAATATTATATGTCCTGCTGTGGCAGCTCGGCTTCATTCACTTTCCCACTCCTGTAAGGTTGCTGCCCTCTGCCTTTTCTATAAATATATTCATGATAATTGTGCAGATGATCTCTTCATTTGGGTTTAGATTTTCAAAAATTGTTATTTTATTCCCCACCACATGCAGTGAAATTGTATATATGAGGACTAGTTAGGACTTTCATAGAGACAATGAGGTATTACGGTGAATGTAGTAAGAAAGGTAAGAAAGAATTTGTTGTTTTAGTGTAAGGAATATTGTGGTATGTTTGGGCCAGTTCTTTTGATGGTTCTTGAATGGACTTTGAAGATTGAAGCCAGAGTATGAATATTGGTATCATTACTGAAGGCATGAATGATCTTTTTCCTCTAACCATTACTCAGTTGGGGAGACAGTGAGGCTGGCAAAAAACAATTTTAAGCTGTTTTCTTTCTGGCTGAGTAACATTAGTTTTTTCAGTGATTCTTAAGACAAATAGTGTCCTATCTTAAAAAAAAACTGGAAAAAAAAGAAATATGATAGTTTAGATAATAAATATTTTGTGGGATAGACAATTATGTTGTTACAGGATTTGTATAAATTTGTTATTACATCCAGGATATATATATATATATATATATATATATATATATATATATATATATATATATATACCTCAAACACCTTCAAACCTTTCCAAAAATAAGACCTTCAAACCCTTCCAGATAATCGTTCACTGTTACCTAACTATATATATATATATATATATATATATATATATATATATATATATATATATATTTTATATATATCTTTGAACAATAAAAATATTTTAAAATTTAAATTTTCAGACACACAGAGTTGTATATTATTTCAATATATATATATATATATATATATAGAGAGAGAGAGAGAGAGAGAGAGAGAGAGGAATTTAAAGATGGCCCTGACGACCTGCTGAATTTCATTTCATGAATTCGTATATGTATTTTACGGGACTTTGAATACGAAATGATCATTGGTGCGCGTCGGTCGCGTCGGTGTATTTCAAAAACTGCTGATGCACTAAGATTTTCTCGCACAGCTATCTCACATAGAATAGTCATAAACTTGAATTAAAAACTCCAGTTCTGCAGACGGAAAGAGGTAAGATTTCGGAGACTGGTTATAAAGTGTTTTAGTTCAAACACCGATGTGCCTGAGCAGGCGTCTGCAATAGGGATTAGGTAGCCCGTCTTGTAGATTGCGCCATTTACTTTTATTACAATACAGTATACGTCGATGCTTTGAATATTTCTGACACATATGATCCGAATCTCAATCTTTACATTTAGAGATTCTAGATAAAATTCAAAGAATCAGGAGCAATATGATTGATCCTTATCTGTCAGCTCGGTTTCAGTCACTTTCCTTGCTTGGGGAGAAAGATTTCACAGAAGACAAGCTTTTATACGATTTTATATAATGGCGCTTACCAAATAACAAAAACCACATCGCTTGTAGTCTTCCATTAACAAATAACTGAACATGAATATTTCTAAAAGAACAAACAATGATCTGGAATTGGAATGAAAGGCAATGATGGCGCCTATCCTGAATCCATCATCAAAATGAAAACATCCTCTATCAAGTGTTCTAAGAAATAGGACTCAAAATAAACCTTTTCAAAAGAGAAACAATGATCTGGAATTGGAATTAAAGGCAGTGATGGCACCTACCTTTGAATCCATCATCAAAATGAAAACATCCTCTATCAAGTGTTCTAAAAATAGGACTCAAAATAAACCTTTTCAAAAGAGAAACAATGATCTGGAATTGGAATTAAAGGCAGTGATGGCACCTACCTTTGAATCCATCATCAAAATGAAAACATCCTCTATCAAGTGTTCTAAGAAATAGGACTCAAAATAAACCTTTTCAAAAGAGAAACAATGATCTGGAATTGGAATTAAAAGGCAGTGATGGCACCTACCTTTGAATCCATCATCAAAATGAAAACATCCTCTATCAAGTGTTCTAAGAAATAGGACTCAAAATAAACCTTTTCAAAAGAGAAACAATGATCTGGAATTGGAATTAAAGGCAGTGATGGCACCTACCTTTGAATCCATCATCAAAATGAAAACATCCTCTATCAAGTGTTCTAAGAAATAGGACTCAAAATAAACCTTTTCAAAAGAGAAACAATGATCTGAATTGGAATTAAAGGCAGTGATGGCACCTACCTTTGAATCCATCATCAAAATGAAAACATCCTCTATCAAGTGTTCTAAGAAATAGGACTCAAAATAAACCTTTTCAAAAGAGAAACAATGATCTGGAATTGGAATTAAAGGCTGTGATGGCACCTACCCTGAATCCATCATCAAAATGAAAACATCCTCTATCAAGTGTTCTAAGAAATAGGACTCAAAATAAACCTTTTCAAAAGAGAAACAATGATCTGGAATTGGAATTAAAGGCAGTGATGGCACCTACCTTTGAATCCATCATCAAAATGAAAACATCCTCTATCAAGTGTTCTAAGAAATAGGACTCAAAATAAACCTTTCCAAAGAGAAACAATGATCTGGAATTGGAATTAAAGGCAGTGATGGTATCTCCCCTGAATCCATGATGAAAAATTCAGAATGTGAAATTATTAAATACTAAACATTTCAAATACTTCTGTTTATGGGTCAGTTATAAGTAATTTAGTATTGGAGATAAGGAAATTGAACATAGAATAGGCTGCGCCAGAGTTAGTTTCACACAACTCCACAAATTACTACAGAACTTTAAACTAAATTTTTTGAGCCATCGTCAGTTCAAACTTTTATATGGCTGTCCTACATGACACAAAACCTGTTCAGAAATATCAAAACTGTCGGCTGTATGTAGCTAGATTGGCAACACGCTCTTGTCATTTTACAAAAGACTTGGCTAGAATCGTAAGTTCTATGCTAACAGTTACTTCTCTTGCACTTATCTTCAGGCCTCTTGCTTTCTAGCCTTTCATTTTCAAAAATTTAAATGCAATGTCCATCGTTATCTACTGTCTCCTTGATTCCTTTTCTTCTTTTTTCCTCACTACTTAATAATGATTATTTCTCTTCCTTATATTCTTTCACACTTAGTAACCCCATCCCGCCTCGGCAGAATGCGTCATAGTGTCTTTTGTTGTTTTCAAACGAATAAAATATGTATGTACGTATATATGTACGTATATATATATGTATATATTTCAGAATTTTTTTCCAGCATTTTTGCTTATTACTATAAATATTATATTTACATATAATATTCATTTTGTGGTTTTCGAGAAAAAGAG